AGAGACGGGGTTTCACCGTGTTGACCAGGATGGTCTCGATCTCTTGACCTCGTGATCCACCCGCCTCGGCCTCCCAAAGTGCTGGGATTACAGGCTTGAGCCACCGCGCCCGGCCTGGAACATTTTTAAATACTGTCAAAAAGACCTTAATACTTTTCCTAGCCTGAACCTTAATCTTTAGGCTTATCAAATTTATATCTCATCAGGTTTTAGTGTATTCAAATAGGAAACAAAAGGAAAACAAATATCAAGAAAAATAAAGGCAAGAACCACAAAAGAATAAAATCTTAGGAGCACATGCCAAGGACCAATTAGTATGTATGAAGCACATGTGAAGTCTTATAAGGACCTTCAGGGCCATCTAATTTAATCTGTTCTCTAATGCATAATGATGAAATGATCTGCCCACTAAACACTGATTACCTTTCTTCCCAGAAAAACACACACTTGGACTGGTGTGGCTCACACCTGTAATCCCAGCATGTTGGGAGGCTGAGGCCAGCAGATCACATGAGGCCAGGAGTTCGAGACCAGCCTGGTTAACATAGTGAAACCCTGTCTCTACTAAAAATATGAAAATTAGCCAGTCATGGTGGTGCGTGCCTGTGATACCAGCTACTTGGGAGGCTGAGGCACAAGAGTCATTGGACCTTGGAGGCAAAGGTTGCAGGGAACTGAGACTGCACTACTGCACTCCATCCTGGATGATGAAGTGAGAATCTATCTAAAGAGTAAAAGAAAACACACACACATTGGAACACAGATGCCCATTCTCCCTCCAGGCCAGGGTGGGTGTGAAGATGGGTGCCGCAGAGAGCTAATAACCTAGAAGTCAGAATGGTGTGGGGGTGGAGTTGGTGAGATACTGGTTTCTTTTTTTTTTGGTTTTGGTTTTCTTTTATTGCAAATCAAGAGATACTGGTTTCAGTGGTGTTGTCAAAAAGTTTGGATTGTCCTAGTCAGTCAAGTGACTCCCTTTCTGTTTTGTGTTCTACCTTCCAGGCTACCATTCTGCAGGTGCCTTTTGTTTTGTTTTTGGAGTACAAGTATCACCTCAGTTTACCGCCTCAATAAGCTAGAGGCTCCATCTGTAGAAATAATAGAGAATTGCTTCTCAAATTTATAAAATTAACTAAACCTTAGTGGGAAAATTCAATTCACTCTTTTTTTTTTTTTTTTTTTTTTTGAGACGGAGTTTCGCTCTTGTTACCCAGGCTGGAGTGCAATGGCGCGATCTCGGCTCACCGCAACCTCCGCCTCCTGGGTTCAGGCAATTCTCCTGCCTCAACCTCCTGAGTAGCTGGGACTACAGGCACGCGCCACCATGCCCAGCTTATTTTTTGTAGTTTTAGTAAAGACGGGGTTTCACCATGTTGACCAGGATGGTCTCGATCTCTTGACCTCGTGATCCACCCGCCTCGGCCTCCCAAAGTGCTGGGATTACAGGCTTGAGCCACGGCGCCCGGCCTCAATTCACTCTTGATCCAACTCTGACCATAGTTATAAATAACTACAGAGTTTCAAATTTCTGGACTGTTTCCTCCCCAGCTCAAAATGAGGATCTGAAGCTTGAAGTCATCAACATACTTCAGAAGCATAAACAGGAATTAGAGCTTCTCCAAAAGCCAGCCGAAGTTTCCCAGCCTCCTGACAGACAATGTGAACCAGCCACTCCCCCAGCTCTATTCCAAGAGAATACTCAGAGTGAGGTAAGTCCCTCTTTAAACAAAGTAGTCCACTCTGCAGAAAGGTCTCTGGCAAATATCCCTAGGGGAGATGATATTAGAGAACTAATATTTAAATCAAAAAATAAAAAAAATAAAATAAAACTAATATTTGTTCTGATCGAGGACATGCTTTTTTTGTTGTTGTTGTTGTTGAGGTAGAGGTTTATTCTTGTTGCCCAGGCTAGAGTGCAATGGCATGATCTCAGCTCACTGCAGCCTTTACCTCCCAGGTTCAAGAGATTCACCTGCCTCAGCCTCTTGAGTAGCTGGGATTACAGGTACCCACCACCACATCTGGCTAATTTTTTGTATGTTTTTCTTTGAGATGGAGTCTTGCTTTGTCGCCAGGCAGGAGTGCAGTGGCGTGATCTCGGCTCACTGCAACCTCTGCCTCCTGGGTTTAAGCAATTCTCCTGCCTCAGCCTCCCAAGTAGCTGGGACTATAGGTGCCTGGCTAATTTTTTTTGGTATTTCTAGTAGAGTCAGGGTTTCACCATGTTGGCCAGATGGTCTCAATATATTGACCTCGTGATCTACCCACCTTGGCCTCCCAAAGTGCTGGGATTACAAGCATAAGCCACTGCGCCTGGCCAATTTTTTGTATTTTTAGTAAAGATAGGGTTTTGCCATTTTGACCAGGCTGGTCTCAAACTCCTGACCTCAGGTGATCTGTCTGCCCTGGCCTCCAAAAGGTATGGGATTGCAGGTGTGAGCAACTGTGCCTAGCAGAGGACACTCTTTGGAAGACTATGCGAGGGCCGAGAATAGAGAGCTTCATGTGCTCCACCCATTTCCTCCACTCTTTGCAGCTCATAAAATTTAGAATCTTTTTCACATGAGGACTTGAAATTATCTGTGGAAGAGCAAACGGCCATTAGCAGCTGTATAACCTCCCTTTACTGCTGCTACAGAACATGAGGACTAAGGGAGAGTGCACCTGTGAAGTAATACAGGTCCTTTTTTACATTTTAGAGTAATTTCTGCTGCTGGCATTTTACTACTACCGACAACCATTAGATAGAGAAGAGTTATTACTTTACCTGTCATATTTATACTCCCTTTTACCAACGCATTTCCCTCTACAGCCAAGTGAACCCCAAAACCAAGAAGAAAAGAAACTGTCCCAGGTGCTAAATGAGTTGCAAGTATCACACGCAGAGACCACACTGGAACTAGAAAAGACCAGAGACATGCTTATTCTGCAGCGCAAAATCAACGTGTGTTATCAGGTGCAAGCAAAGACGGTACAGGAAGGGAGTGGCTAATAGGAACATAGGAACCACTCACAGGACTGGGAATGAAGACCTAAGTTTCCAGGGCTGATGCCAGGTGATGTGCTGTCCTGAGCAAACACAGAATGGCTGTCCTTTGAAGAGCTTGAAGATTCAAGTTCTTCATGTCCACAGCACCTTGGCACTAGGAGCCAGTGATGGGGTCAGTGTATGGCTTCTGGGTTCAAATTTTGCCAATCCTAGGAACTACCCTATGGCACCAACAGCACACAACTAGTATTGGAAGGGTCTGTGAGGGAACCAAGCCTTCTAGTGAATGAACCTGCCCCTCTAACGATAGCAGTCTTCTTGACCCTGCCAGTGCCACATTTTTATACTCTTTGGTCGTAGGCCACTGAGACAGAAAAGTTCAGACGTTATTTTGTTTCAGGAGGAACTGGAGGCAATGACAACAAAAGCTGACAGTGATAATAGAGATTACAAAGAAAAGCTGGAGAGGTTGACTCGACTGCTAGACCTCAAGAATAACCGTATCAAGCAGCTGGAAGGTATTTTAAGAAGCCATGACCTTCCAATATCTGGCAAGTCCTAGTCCTGTGTTTTCTTTACCTTGGGACCCTTCCACAGCTAACACCTGTGTTCCCCTCTGTGTACTTATCAAGAAGAGTGCCTCTCATATCCTTAGCATATGGCTTATCCCTCTTGTTCTTTATCCTATTATGTTTGTTGTTTGTTTTGTTTGGAGATAAGAGTTTTGCTCTTGTTGCCCAGGCTGGAGTGCAGTGGCACAATCTCCACTCACTGCAACCTCCACTTTCTGGGTTCAAGCAATTGTCCTGCCTCAGCCTCCAGAGTAGCTGGGATTACAGGCATCCACCACCATGCCTGGCTAATTTTTTGTATTTGTAGTGGAGATGCGGTTTCACCATGTTGGCCAGGCTGGTCTCAAACTCCTGATCCGCCCATCTTGGCCTCCCAAAGTGCTGGGATTACAGTGTGAGCCCTCGCACCTGACCCATCTTTATTGTTTTAATGTATGTTAGCAGCTTGTTTCCCTCCATAATGTTTCTCTGGTTTCTCTGTACAGTTTCAACAGGGGCTAGAAATTACTTCCAGGGGCTTAATTCTGTTGTGAGAATGAGAGGGCCAACAATGGCCCTCAGATTGGTGGTGTAACACACAATCTCTTTCTCTCTTGCTTCTCTCTCTTCTCCCTCTCTCCTAGTCACTGTTTCCTCAAAGGAGTTTTAATTAGATAATAGAACTTCACCACTCATCTCCTTTATTTTTGTCAGTGATTTCTCTCTTAAAGTCTCTAAAATCTTTGTTGCAGTTTGAAGATGTCGACAGTGACAGGGCAGCTGGCTGGACACTGAATGCAAGTTTCATATTGTGGTGCTTCCTATACTTAGTATAGTCACTGCTGACCAGAGCCTGGTCTCAGCCTTGTTTGTCAAGACATTTGGCTTTGTTATTATACCCAGTGGTGAAAGATCTGACTCACAGAAAGCAAGTTAACCAGAAGCGGATATTTAAACATGAATGTTTGTTATTTTACAGTAGTGGTTATTCCATTGCTGCCATGAGAAATTTGGAACCACAGTTTAGGGAAGCCCTCTTACAGAAAGCAAAATCAGTAAGTAAGTTTCTTAGTGAGTATGGACTAGAATAAAGGGACATAAGACTCTCTGGGGCATGGTTTATACATGCCAGCGTGAGTCTGATAAAGGGTCATTGCTATATCAACGAAGGAAATTCTCCCTTGGATTGAAATTCTCATGGCTTTCAGAATCAGGGCCTTTCTCCTGGGACAGTGAAGGATAAATGCTCTTACCTACTTCTGAATATTTATTTGCTTTAGCTAATAGTTCTTTATTTTTTTATTTTTAGTGAATAGTTCTTTGATCACTGGTAAGGCTAAAGAGTTTTTCTATGTTCACCAGTTACTTGTATTATTCTTTTTGAGAACTAACCATTCCTATCCTTTGCCCACTTCTTAGTAGTATCTTACAGATTTATAGAAATTCTTTTTATGTTAAGACTATTCACCCTGCATCATGTAATACAAAATTTTAAATATATTTTGTTTTGTTTTTTGTTTTCTTTAGTGTATTTATATTAATCTTGTTAATTAACAGTCTCCGTGTGTGTGTGTGTCTCGGACAAGAAGACATTCTGATGTATCCAGAATATTTTATTTTACTTTCTCTTGAAATAGGACTTTCAGCAGCAGTAGCACACTATGATGACTCAAATATTCTCTAATTAGAAGCAGGCTATACATCAAAGTTTCTGATTGGTTGGACTTGGGAGATAAGCCCAGATTTGCTAGACTGTCTACCCATCTTTGTATCCCACTGCCAATATTTTCTACCTCTTTCAGTAAGTCTCCTTTCCCACCTTTTACTCCATTACTCTTTAACTTAGAGTTCTTTTTGCCTTCTTATGTTGAAACCAAATTCTGAACAGAATGAAAGATCTTGTGACCTGGCTGGAGAAGGAGAAGCATTTCTTGGTGGGACTCATTATAATGTCATAGACACTATGTCTATACCTTCCTGTTATCTCCACGGTCGACATACCAAACATGTAGAAATACTCATATTTTTGTGTTTCTAGTACTTCTTTTATGGAATTACCAACTAATTCATAGGGCCACGATGTATACTAAAACAATGTCATCTGTAAGATAAAATGTGCCCCCAATGTTTCCTAAGTTTAGTGTTTACTTTCCAATAACTCCTTTTGTACCTCTCCCCAGAGCTGGCATTGGATTATTTGGCTATCAGAATTCAGTGCTCCTGGTTGTCATTCTGTTGCTTTTCCTTTTGAATCGTGGTTTCTTGAAATAATCACAACTTGGACTTCCACCATGTGTTTTATTTTTCTTTTGTCCACCCTCCTCTACCCTGAGAAAGAGCTCCCAACCCTTTAATGGATAGGCAGTTTTCTTTCTCCTCTAGAACAGCTCAAAGATGTTGCTTATGGCACCCGACAGTTGTCATTATGTTTGGAAACACTGCCAGCCCATGGAGATGAGGATAAAGTGGACATTTCTCTGCTGCATCAGGGTGAGAATCTTTTCGAACTGCACATCCACCAGGCCTTCCTGACATCTGCTGCCCTGGCTCAGGCTGGAGACACCCAACCTACCACTTTCTGCACCTATTCCTTCTATGACTTTGAAACCCATTGTACCCCATTGTCTGTGGGGCCACAGCCCCTCTATGACTTCACCTCCCAGTATGTGGTGGAGACAGACTCCCTTTTCTTACACTACCTTCAAGGGGCTTCAGCCCGGCTTGATCTCCACCAGGCTGTGGCCAGTGAGCACAACACTCTTGCTGCAGGATGGATTTGCTTTGACAGGGTGCTGGAGACCGTGGAGAAAGTCCATGGCTTGGCCATACTGATTGGTAAGTGCTGTCGGCTTCCTGCAGCTCCTAGCACCAATGCAGAATTTCCCAAACTCTATAGCTGCTTTTCTGGTCATTTCTTACATTTTCTTTGTTCTTGATCATTGCCGCACCATCTGTGTTCTCCATGATTTCATACTTGCTGCTGCCCAGGAGCTGGTGGAGAAGAGTTTGGGGTTCTAGAGTACTGGATGAGGCTGCGTTTCCCGATAAAACCCAGCCTACAGGCATGCAATAAACGAAAGAAAGCCCAGGTCTACCTGTCAACCAATGTGGTTGGAGGCTGGAAGGCCCAGGAGAATGAGGTGAGAAAAAGGATGTGCTAAGGCATCTCAGAGGAGCCTCAGCCAAACAGCTCATGAGAACAGTTCTGTCTTCCATTCTCAATAAGTATTTGTGGAATGCGAATGAAAGAGAAAACTGTCACACCACCACTAGTCTGGATTATTCCCTTGGTCAGGCTTGAGTCTAAAATGAAATGCCTTTGAAGCTAGCTACATCCTTGCCGTGAACAGAGTAGATTCTCTGCCATTCTGTAAGTCGTGAGGGGGTAGTATCTCCCTCAGATAACTGCCAGAGCCAGTTTGCAGGCAGGTGAAGACCATTAGGTTTCTTCCTGACCCAGTTGGATTAGTTCTCTAGATCATAGCTCTTTCTCACCATGGATCCTAGACCTTACCTACAGCACTCTGGGGCTGCCATTTCCTCAATCCATGATCTACATCTTTCCAGTTCAGAACAGAGTCTCGGGAACCTCAGAATGAGCTACGGATTGAAATCACCAAGTGCTGCGGCCTCCGGAGTCGATGGCTGGGAACTCAACCCAGTCCATATGCTGTGTATCGTTTCTTCACCTTTTCTGACCATGACACTGCCATCATTCCAGCCAGTAACAACCCCTACTTTAGAGATCAGGCTCGATTCCCAGTGCTTGTGACCTCTGACCTGGACCAATATCTAAGGCGGGAGGCCCTGTCTATACACGTTTTTGATGATGAAGACTCAGAGCCTGGCTTGTATCTTGGCCGAGCCCAAGTGTCTTTACTGCCTCTTGCAAAAAACAAATCTATTAAAGGTGGGAGTTTAAGGTTATTACATCTTCATGTTCTCTTCCCAGTCCTGTCTCCCTGTCCTGATTCTACTTTTCTTGATTACTTGCTTGAAGCAGTCTCTTAAAACCTGAAGAGAAAGGAATTTAAAATATCGTCAAGAGCAGCAGAGTAGAAGACTTAGAGTCTCACTGTTTGTGTGGAAACACTGGTGGCTTCTGCTTCTTTTCAGCCACAAAGATAGCATTCCTAAGTGGGTAGAGCCAGCAACCTGAATTCTATACCTCTGAATCTCAACAAACTTTTCCAGGCTCCATAATGCTGTCTAGTATCTGTCTTTACTTAAGGCTTGTTGTTAGTGCATGGCTAGATAGATACCTGATTATACTGAGACCTTCACATTCCCCCATCATTCTCTCACTTCCTTTAAACACTGGACACAAGTTAGAGAGATTTCCACACCAGGCCATGACAAAGGCAAATTTCTTGGATTTTTTTTTCCCTCCAGTGTGGAGCTGAACTCCGTACTGTCTTTCCTAACTTTCATGCCTAGGGTTGTGGGGATATGCCTAGGAGGGGTCAACTCTTTGACTACAGTCCTGGGCGAGTGAGGTGGGGGTATCTCTGTTCTTGTTAGAAAGTGGGATAGCTGGCCGGGCGCGGTGGCTCACGCCTGTAATCCCAGCACTTTGGGAGGCCGAGGCGGGTGGATCACGAGGTCAAGAGATCGAGACCATCCTGGTCAACACGGTGAAACCCCGTCTCTACTAAAGCTACAAAAAATTAGCTGGGCATGGTGGCGTGTGCCTGTAGTCCCAGCTACTCAGGAGGTTGAGGCAGGAGAATTGCCTGACCCTGGGAGGCGGAGGTTGCGGTGAGCCGAGATCGCGCCATTGCACTCCAGCCTGGGTAACAAGAGCGAAACTCCGTCTCAAAAAAAAAAAAAGAAAGTGGGATAGCTGCAGCCAGAAACGACCATATTTAACAAGGTTCTGGATACTCTAGGAAATGTGTGCAGCTTGCTCCTGAATATAACTGCTTAAAAAAAGGCTGACACTTCTGGACACAACTCCTTCACCAAACAGGGGAGGCAGTATGAGTCGTCTATTAATCAGTGTTACAAAACAGATGCCTGACATTTGGAAAAAGCCATTTTGCTTAAGTTTTCTCGGGACCACTTGGGCGTAGATGACAGTTTTCTTAGTATGCCTAAGGCACAGTAAGCATTTGATAATAGTAATAATAATATAATCTTGTTTATTGGCTGGATGACTGACAACAAGCAAGCTGTACTCCTTTTCATATACCTTTCACTATCTCTTCCTGAATCCTAGAGATACCCATCTTCCCCAATTACTATTCTAACTGCACTGCTATTTGATGTTACTTCTGAGTGTATCATCATCGTGATTATTGATGGATGTTAATTAGTTGCTGATAAAATGTGATGAAATTAAACATGGGAAGGAAATAGATAAGGTTCTGGCAAACACTTGCTTACTTCATGTGATCAGGTCTTACTAATGTGTTTGTGTCTCAGGGGATTTTAACCTCACTGACCCTGCAGAGAAACCCAATGGATCTATTCAAGTGCAACTTGATTGGAAGTTTCCCTATATACCCCCTGAGAGTTTCCTGAAACCAGAAGCTGAGACTAAGGGGAACAATACCAAGGACAGTTCAAAGATCTCATCTGAAGAGGAAAAGGCTTCGGTTCCTTCCCAGGTAACTCTCCAGGACTCCACAGGCAGCAGATCACTGCCAATCCTATGGAGCAGATTTGAAGGAGACAGCATTACAGTTGGAGTAAAAGAAATTCCCTCTGTGAATGTCATATGTCCTGTGAACTTAATATATATCCCCCATAATGCCATTAATCTACTGATGGAGCAAAAATCTTGGTTTTATTGTGGAAAGGAGAGAGAGATAACATCTCTCAGCTCCATGAGGAGGTAAATGAAGTCTAGTGCTAGTTCCTAAATCCCTTTCTTGGTTGTTAAACTACCATCTTGTAAGGCTGTCTCTGATCCTTCTATTCAGGACCAGATTGCATCTCCTGAGGTTCCCATTGAAGCTGGCCGGTATCAAGCAAAGAGAAAAGCTCCTCATGGAGGAGAAAGAAAGGAAAAGGAGCACCAAGTTTTGAGCTACTCAAGAAGAAAACATGGCAAAAGAATAGGTGTTCAAGGAAAGAACAGACTCGAGTATCTTAGCCTTAACATCTTAAATGGAAATACACCTCAAGTAAGAGCATAAAAACTCTGAAGCACTACATTGTGGGTTGTACTGTCTCCAGATGTTCTCACAGATAGAAGCATAAGCAGACACAAAAGCAATAATCTGCTGGGCACAGTGGCTCATGCCTGTAATCCCAGCACTTTGGGTGGCTGAGGTGTGCAGACCACCTGAGGTCAGGAGTTGGAGACCAGCCGGGCCAACATGGTGAAATCCTGTCTCTATTAAAAATACAAAATCAGCCAGGCAGTGGCTCATGCCTGTAATCCCAGCACTTTGGGAGGCTGAGGTGGGCAGACCACGAGGTCAGGAGTTTGAGACTAGCCTGGCCAACATGGTGAAACCCCATTTCAACTAAAAATATGAAAGTTAGCCAGGTTTGGTGGTCAACTTGGTGAAACTCCATCTCTTCTAAAACTACAAAAAAATTAGCTGGGCATGGTGGCACATGCCTGTAGTCCCAGCTACTCAGGAGGCTGAGGCTCCACCTCCCAGGTTTAAGCAACCCCCCTGCCTTAGCTGCCCAAGTAGCTAGGACTACAGGCGTGTGCTTCCTTCCACACCTGGCTG